AATGGTATTGGGCCATGCCTGCGCGATGGGGGAGTCGCGCAGGGCCAGCAGTTCCCTCCTCGAATACAGTCCACAGTCGTATCGGAGGTCCATCAGCAAAGTAGGGGAGGGGAGAAAGTCCTCGTGGTGGCAATCTCAATCGGGGCAAGATGGATTGAGGAAAGGCGGTATAATTCCCAGGTCTTTGAACCCATAAAAAGGGAGGGAAATACGCCGCCATCGCGTCGGGCTGCTAGATCGCCAAAGCCCCGGGTCACAGATCTTCCTCGGACCGCCGAGCCGCCACCGCGTTGGGCCACTAGGCCGCCACTGCGTCGGGCCGTCAGGCCGCCATCGCGTCGGGCCGCTAAGCCACCGCCGCGTCAGGCTGCAGATCTTCCTGGCCGCAGATCTTCCAGGCCGTGTCGGGGCGCAGATCTTCCTGGCCGCTAGGCCACCAGGCCGGGCTTCACTAGGCCTCACTAGGCCTCTCCAAAGACATCAAGAAAAATTTCAGCAGGGAAATTTTGGATCCATTTTTACATTTTGATTGAAAAATTAAAGACTTTAATATAGGAATGGAAGGGAATATACTGGGCACTAGTATTCAGAATAAAGATCTGGGTCCTTGGAAGATTACAAGCTGAACATAAGACAAAGTCGCGATTCATTTGTAAAAAAAAAAACAAATTCAATCCTAAACTAAATAAACAGGTGAAGTTACTATTTCTCTCTATTCTGGACTGATCGGACCACACTCAAAATACTGAGTCTGGTTCTAGGTACCACATTTTAAGTTAGACACTAACCAACTGTAACATACCCTGTGGGGAGTAATCATGATGAGAATCAGTTGGAGGCAATGGGTAGAATTTCTTAGGGAGGAGAAAACTGCAAGCAGACATGGCAACTGTTTTCAAGTATCTCGAGCAATATTATGTATATAAGATGTAGCAGAATTATTCAGAATTATTCCAAGAAACAAGATAGTAAAAATGGATTTAAATTACAGATAGATATCAGGAAACGTTTCCTAAAGGTGTTTGAATAGAAACTGGATGGCCATCTCATGGGGATGGTCTAATAATGGATTCCTGCACTGGGCTGACAGTTGGGCTATATAATTTCCAAGGTCAGTCCCTACCTTTATATTCTATGATATTCTAGTTTCCAGCTTACTACCACAAGCCTATTGCCATATCACAAATTCTAAACACTGAATGTCTCCTTATCTAATATTTGAAAGCTGATCTTCTTTTAAAAGTCCAGAGGGGAAAAGGAGAGAAATACTAACATATTCATCATGATACACTTGTGTCAGATATTATGATGCAAAATGATGGAAATACATACATCACCTCATTAGGCTTGTTCAGGACATCACTATCTTTATTCTCACTTGGGGATGAAATTAAAACACCTGGGAGCCTCGTTTTCAATGCCATCATTTACTGTAAGGAACGACTTATTTCTGTCATCATTTAAGAAACTTCTTATTCTATTTTAATTGATTTGTTAAAATTTATATCAATTAAAATTTGTCTTACTGAAATGTTTTTTGCTGTGGCTTGGTATTGAATCTGGCACATAAAAGGATCCCAATTTGGTTCTTCTGGTTTTTTTCTCAAGTGAACTCTTAGCATTTCCTTCATCCCTTCCACTTTCATTATTTGAGGAGGACCAGGTTTCACTAGAATTGAAAAATGAGCTGATAAACTTTCAGAAGTTAATGTACAATTTTATAATTTAACTACGTTAGTGATAGAACATTTAGGGTGAAATGACTACCAGTAGACAAGAAACCCAGAGTATGTAGCAATCATTCCTAAGTGTTATACAAAGTGACCAAATTCATCTAATACAAAGCTGTTTCAGCTAAAGACTGCAATAATTTTATCTGTGTTCTGCCCAGTATTCCAGATATCCTTAGAGAAAACCCATTTAAATCCATAGTTAATTTCCACTCAAGAGTTTTAGAAACCAACTGAGGGCACAGATATCCAGGAATGAATTATAATACTTCATCCCAGCAGCAACTCCAGAAAATGGTAAAGTAAAAATTGGCAAGACTGTGGGTGGCGTGTTGCAATATAAACTCTATGTCATTTGAATGGGCAGATGATGCTGATACCAAAGAGGCAAATCTTGCATCTCAGATTCCTTTTGTACAGGCTGTTGCATCAACTCATTCATTTCACAGTTATTAAAAAAGTTCTTGCTGTTCCCTAGCTATCAAATCCTTCTATAGGGACATAGCAAAAATACTTTTGACATATTTTGAACATGATATCTGTATTCTGTCAATAAATTAAAAACTTAACTGAGGCACAGCAACTTAGAACATCGAACATAGATTAATAGGGTTGGAAGGGATCTTGGCAGTCTTCTAGTCCTACCCACCTCCCCAGTAAGTAGATACTGTTTATGTCTATGTGTCTATCAATGGCTAATTTGTCAGAGTGCCAGGCTTCTAGAAATTCTCTAGCATTTTTGAACTTGGCTTTAGGATGGTCACAGTTTTCCAGTTGAAACTATAGTTAAGTCTGTCCAGATTGAAACACCCAAGATTATAAATTTATCTCTGCCTAATCGCATACTTCCAATCTGATGGGCAAATGTATCAACAAATGACATCTATGGGATCACTGCTTTCAGAACTCATAGCTGAGGTCATAATTCAATGTCTGGAAGCGATAGAATTCCAATACAAATACAAATACAATCCAAAATATGGATCTGATATATAGACAACACCTTCACCATAATAAAAAAAGGACCAATTAGAGAAACCCCACAAAACCATCAACAACATCTTCAAAGGATTCCAGTTTACCAGAGAAGAAGAAAAAAAAACTCACTACCCTTCCTGGATATCCTGATCTGCAATGGTAAACCACAAGCACAAATGTATGAAAAACTACCCATACCAATCAAGTGCTCCATTACCAAAGAAGTAACACAACCTCCTATAAGAAAAGTTGTGTACGAACTTTATTTAAACAAGCACAAACATACTACAGCAATCATGAACAACAGAAAAAGTAAACAGAGCAACTATACAATATCTTCCAACAAAATGGATATCCATGCAACTTCATCACAAAATTCCAGGCCACTCAACCCAATGTAGCACAACCAACACTGCCATACATCAAAAACGTCTCAGAAACCACCAACAGAGTATTACAACCACATGGAAGCAGCATAGCACACAAGCCAACTAAAACCCTCCAAAACATCCTAAGTAAAGCAAAACACTCAGCAGCCCCAGAAGAATAAACAGGAGTCATCTACAACATACAATGTAATAATAATAATAATAATAATAATAATAATAATAATAATAATAATAATAATAATAATAATAATAATAATAATAATAATAATAATAATAATAATAATAATAATAATAAAGTTGGAAAGGACCTTGGAGGTCATCTAGTTCAACACCCTGCTCAGGTAGGAAACCCTATACCATTTCAGACAAATGGCTGTCTAGTCTCTTATTAAAAACTTCCAGTGTTGGAGCAGTTCTGGAGGCAGGTTGTTCCACTGATTAATTGTTCTAACTGTCAGGAAATTTCTCCTCAGTTCTAGGTTGCTTCTCTCTTTAGTTAGTTTCCATCCATTGCTTCTTGTCCTGCCTTCAGGCACTTTGGAGAATAGCTTGACTCCCTCTTCTTTGTGGCAAACCCTGAGATATTGGAACACTGCTATCATGTCCCCCCTCGTCCTTCTCTTCATTAAACTAGACATACCCAATTCCAGTAACCATTCGTTATATGTTTTAACTTCCAGTCCCCTAATCATCTTTGTTGCTCTTCTCTGTACTCTTTCTAGAGTCTCAACATCTTTTTTACATCGTGGTGACCAAAACTGGATGCAGTATTCCAAGTGTGGCCTTACCAAGGCATTGTAAAGTGGTATTAACAGTTCACATGATCTTAATTCTATCCCTCTGTTAATGCAGACTAGCACTGTGTTGCTTTTTTGGCAGCTACAGCACACTGCTGGCTCATATTTAAGTGATTGTCCATTAGGACTCCAAGATCCCTCTTACAGTTACTACTATTGAGCAAGGTACCACCTATACCAGTGGTGGCGAACCTATGGCACGGGTGCCAGAGGCGGCACTCAGAGCCCTCTCTGTGGGCACGTGCGCCGTTGCCCCAGTCCTAGGCCTTCAGCTGGGTTTTATAAAACCTTTTCACTTTAGGCCTCCGCCGCCATGTGCAAAAAAAAAATATAGGTTCAATCAGTCAATTTCAACTTCTTGCAGGGAAAAAAAAAGATCTTGCAAAGTTGGAATTGATTGAACTTTTTAGTCCCACCCAGTCTACCGTTACCACCGCAGCCACGCCCACCCAATGGGCCACACCCACCCAAGGGGCACACCCACCCAATGGGCCACACCCACCTGGCACTCGACGATGCATAAGTGGGTTTTGGATTGCAGTTTGGGCACTCGGTCTCTAAAAGGTTCGCCATCACTGACCTATACTATACCTGTACATTTGGTTTTTCTTGCCTAAATGTAGAACTTTACTTTTTTCACCACTGAATTTCATTTTGTTAGATAGACCCCAATGTTCAAGTTTGTCAAGATCCTTCTGTATCTTAGGCCTATCTTCTGGAATGTTGGCTATTCCTGCCAGGTTAGTGTCATCTGCAAATTTGATATGTTCCCCATCAATCGCCTCATCCAAATCATTGATGAAGATGTTGAAGAGTACTGGGCCCAGAACAGAGCCCTGGGGCACCGCACTGCACACTTCTCTCCATGTAGATTTAGTTCCATTGAGGACCACACGTGGAGTATGGCCGGTCTGCCAGAATGGTTGTCATTCTGGTTGTCTCATCATAGATCCTGTTTACAGTTCTTGTTTACATTTGTTTTTCCTACGATGTTCAAAACATTCTTACTGGTTAAGATTTTCTCAAAGTTAATTACATTTAAATATTTCAGTCTATTTTTTCTCATGTAAGCCAACCCAATACTTTTACCTTTCTTAAGGAATAATTAAGACTAAAAAAAGAAAAAAGAATTAAAAAAAATAAAAAGATAGCATGCTACTTAAAATCCCTATTTCCTATAAGCTAATAATATTTATTTCCATTTTTTTTGTTCTTTTTACCATAATTAAACATATATTTAATCTTTAAATATTCCATTTAATAAATCTAGTCCTCTAGTCTTTTAATTCTTATTCAAAACATTTTTTAATCCATTGTAATTTTCTTTTCTTTCTTTTTTAAAAAAAGTGTTATTAGTTTTTATGAGGTTAAGGGTAGAATGGGGTCAGGGTTGGGATTGGGGATTAGGTTAGGGTTGGGGTCAGGGTTGGGGTTAGGGCTGGGGTTTTCCCAGTTAACATTTTCGATATTTAGCAAACAGCATATTGTCTGGGTACATATATTTAAACAACAATAATAGATATAGTAATCATATTTATTATTATCACCTATCATTGTAATTTTCTTAAGTTAATCACCTTTAGATATCTAAAACATTTCCTTTATATAAGCCATTCCAACTCTTTTATATTACTCATATCAACAAATAAAATAAAAAAAGAAGAAAAAGAAAGTACTATGTTACTTGAGGGGCTCTTCCCTCTTAAAGTCAAATTCACATCCAAAATTTTTCTATTTCTTTAACCATATCCGAACAGGTGTTTCTTATTTAAATATTTTCTCTGATAGGCCCCATTGTCTATTTTTTTAATTTTCACTTTAAACTTTTTCTTTTGTCCAGTATTTTTCTTAATCAATATGTTCTGCTGAGTCAAAGAATCTTTCCATATTCTTGTAGGCAGTGCTTTTTTTGTAAAAAAAAAAAAAAAAAAAAGGTGCCGGAACTCACACACGTCATACAACCTGCCTTGCCTAGCCTACAAGGTTCCATCGAAAAAAGGTGCCGGAACTCCGTTCTGGGCGTACTATGACAAAAAAAAGCCCTGGGTGTTACTGTGGATATAAAAGTAAGTCAAGTACAATATCTTTGTGAGAGGCATTTGCCCATTCATTTTTCTTGAAAATCTTTTTCTTTCTTTTTCTCTCTGCTTCTCTTATCATTTTTTGTCTCTCCAGTTCTAGTGTTTTTCCTGGTATCTCTGCAGTCCATTTTGTCCAATATTTTTTCTTATCCTCAAATTTGTTTTGTGGTGTTAAAGTATAAGTTGTCTTTTCCAAATCCAGTATTTCTTGTAAATTGTTTTCCACTTGGGTTAAATTATACTTCTTTGTTTTGTTAGGTTCCATCTTTAAGTCTCTATCCTCAAATTTGTATTCAGTTGTCTGTTTTATCTGTTCCTTCTCTGTTGTTGTTTCCTGGGATTTTTTTTGTTGTAAAGTTAAATTGGAGATGAATTGGTTTATATGTTCAAAATTATTTTGGATTTCTTTGTGGTTTGAAATCATTGTTATTTGAATTAGTTGCAACATATCATATGTCTCCTCTTGAAAAGTATTTATTTTTTTCTTGATAGGTTCTTTCTATAAATCTCTGGTTTTTCATGATGACCAAGAATGATGACCAAGAATCCAAATTTTCTTTTCTCTGCAAATACCTGACCTCTTTCGAAACCTCTCTGTCCTTTCCTAAATTTACATCCCTTATAACTGAATCACCAACCAGAAGGTGGCTTCTCTTTTTGGATGCCTTGCTCTTCTTGCATGACTGATGTGTAATACCTGATTCACACTTCTCCCTGTCAAAAACAAGTTCTTCATCTCGGACCACGATCCCCTCCTTATTTGAGTTATCATCACAACTACCTTGATCTGTCTCCTCAATGTCCCTATTAAGGTCAGCAAGGGCACTGTATCTGTTATGCAGGGACACAGCGAAAGCTTTGTGTTTATGGTTCACAGCTCTCACCCTGCCAGATCCCACGGTTGTCCACACTGCCCTTCTCCTGCAGGATCTTTGTGGTAGAAGGGGCTGATAGCGTGGAGGCTCAATGACTGCAATAGTCACTACATAGGACAACAGGCAGAAGACTAGCAGAACACATCCATGAACACCAACTAGTAAACAGAAGACATGATGAAAACTCTTTAATTTCACAACATACGGATAGACTTAACCATAGTTTCAACTGGTTAACTGTGACCATTCTATACCAAGCCAAGTTCAAAAATGCTAGAGAATGCTAGAAGCCTGTCATTCTGACAAATTAGTCACCAATAGAAATATAGACATAAACAATTTCTACATACTGTGTAAAAGAGACAGTCAACAAGTCAAAAAGGGAACAAAAAGACCAAAACATTTCTCCACCAGCGATCAACCCCAATGAGCATAGATAATTTCCAAGATTAACATCAGACCAACAATCAAAAAGTAAACAATAGTGCAGTCAAGGAACTACAAACAAACTAACTGTAAACAACCCAATCAAAAAACTGCCAAGACCACTCTCACTAATACTGACAGGGTAAGTCATTGGAATACAAACCAAGAGCAAACCTTATTCCTTACTAGCACTAATGATGTTACCTAGTTTGGGCAATAAAACAACAAAACAACCCACCTCAAAGAGTACCAAGGTCCTCTCATAAATAAATCTACTATTAAGCCAAGAGTTGACTTACCTGTGTATTTCTTATATTGGGGAATCACATTGAATCCTTCTTCTCCAAACAGTGGTACTTTGACTTGTGTGACATAACCCACAGATAAAATGTTTTCTACTATACACGAACCATCTTTCATTTTACCAGGTTTGTCCTTCCTTACAATTTCCCCATTGCGGACATGCGTAAAGAAAAGTAGATGATTGTTATAAAAAATGTTAATTAAAAAAAATCAAAGATCAAGAATTTTATTTTGAAACCATCATTGAACATTTTAGACTTGACACAATTTAGGGGGAAAAAAGGCAAATTTTGCCCTGTGTTTACTGATGTGACAAAACTCCATGGTAAAGTTTTCATTCCATTTCAAATAAATAAAGGCTTTTTCTCCCATAAAAAGTAATATGCCCCCAAATCTGCTAAGGCCAAAGCAGATGTTGTAACTAAAAATTGTGTCATTTTGCTTAAGACAGAATTGCTGTTGGTTATAAAAAAAACCAAAGTTCTAAACAAAGCCAAATACAATATGGCCAACACTGTAGCAGGATCCAAAGTGAAGCAAGACCAGCACGGAACATTAGTGAGGATGCTAATTGAGCAAACAGGAATTGAAGAGTTCAAGATTCATCTTCTGATTATCAGATATGTTTAATTCATGAGGAGTGTCTTCCTGAGTGCATTATTACACACAAGAAGTTCTATTTCTTAAGTAGGCATTTTGTCTGGCTTCCCTCAGAATTTGTATCCTCTGGCATCTTCTCTCGTAAGAGATAAGTGCGACTCCACCAATAGTTCCATGTGGAGAGTGGAAGGTTCCTGCACCAGACATTTCTCTAACCGAAGCAAAATTGTATTATATGTACAGTAGCAGGCTGTGCAAAACTCGGAGCCATGTCTGGCTACAGTGGCAGGCTGGATAAGAGCCAATAAAAGAAAGATGATCATTCCAGGGGAACAAACATCTGCTAAAACCCATACAGTCCTCCCAGAGGAAGTCTACATCCATGCCAGCCTAAAGTCTGGGAAAAGAGTCAGGTCTCCAAGGAACAGTTAAAGGACAGCAGGTTTCAGATCTTCACATCTCTGGGAAGATGTGTTCCATAAAGCACCCTCTCTGACAGAAGATGCACCTCCTGAGTCTCATCAGATGACATTGCTTAATGGATGGGACTTGGAGCATGCCAATTCTGTTTGACCTTACAGGACAGGCAGCAGAAACAGAGAAAACGCAAACTCTCAAATGAATCATCCCTACACTATATGATAGTCATCAGTTGATTCCCCTCCCCCCCCAATGATCACCATCCAATTGCCACTTACCCGTCTGTGCTAATAGCGCAGTTTGTATCATTGGGTATTTCTCTTCCAGAAATCCAGCTACAATTAAGAATGTTATTGTAATGATAAAAGCAAGAAATATTTTCAGGTTTCTGTGGCAAGGCTATAATTAAGTGGAACAAAAGAAAAGCTGTTATGAGGCATTATTTAATTTTATTGCTTTATGGTCATCTGAATCAGAGTTCCCCAACCTTTTTCACTTTATAGACTGGGGGGAGGGAAAGGGGATGGTTCCACGCATACAGACATGCAGCTCCATTTGTGTGAGCAGCAGGCATGCACACCCATCACACGCATAAATGGAGTGCGCTTGCCTGCTGCTTGCACAAGTTGGGATGCCCGCCACCTCTGTGGCCCTGTTCCGAAAGGCTCAAGGCCTGGTAGTGGATCAGGGACTGGGACTGGGGGACCCCTGATTTAAATGCTAAAAGCACAAGTATTCTCATGGAGAGCTTTCTTCATTGTATCTTCAAACAATAACCTGTGAGGTGTGTTGAACTAGAGAAAAGGACTGACCCAAAGCCATTCAGTCACTTTCCATGACTGAGGGAAGACTCTTCAGTGCTAGCGTTTAACCATTACTTCACACTGGGTCCTTTCATTTCTAAAGGTAGAACTGTTTATAATAAATATGACTACCTTTTTTTAACTCCTACTATAATCCCATTGTTTTTACTGGGAAATAATATTGTTCCAAATCAATCAGCTTTGACTTTTCTTCGGCTATCAAGATTCAATTGCATTCCATTAAAGAGGATAAAGAACATACATTACAAAGGATACACACAGAAAAACATTTTTCATTGTGTCAATGAAAATCTTCCTTCTACCCCAGTTAGCTCCAAGAAATAAATTCCAAACAGCAAAAATATTCTTGGTCTTTAGCAAAGATTCAGTTAAGTGAAATTACAGTGATTTAAATTGTTTAAGGCAATCCTTGTTTAGCAACCTCAATTGGGATCTGCAACTCAGTTGCTTAGTGACTGGTCCTCAAGTGGAAAATCACTTGATCCCCAACTAGGCTTTCCTTCCACACACTGCTTTGAAATGCTCACCTGGATACTGGGATAATTAGCCAGAGGAGAATTAATGCCTGCATTTACATTCGTTTGACAGGAAGGGGTTACAAAAAAGTAAGCAGGCACACAATGGTAAATACACATCCAAAGGAATGCTAGGGCTCACTGTTCGCCTACTGAATGTCTCCAAGCCACTTAGAAGGCAGACAAAACCAAATAATCTTGTCAATTACAGGTACAAGGGTGGCTAACTAAGGTCACAGAGTTGAGCTTATTAATCTGTAGTTGGAAACTTTTGGGGGAAGTGTCAGGCTGCAAAGAAAAACAACTCAGGAAACCATCAGCGTTTAAGCAATCTCTCCACTCTGCAAGTGAGGATGGGAGAAAAAGACCACATCAGGCACAGGACAACACACACTGACTGTAATGGTGAACATGTGACTGATAAGGCCTTGGTTGTGAAATTAATTTTTTTTCAGCAGTATTGTAGCTTTGAACATTTGTTACACAAGGCCGTCCGTAAGTGAGGTCTATTTGAGAGTGACTTTGCACTTATGACTGCCATAAAACTGCCATAAAAACGGTTGAAAAATTTGGATCTGCCCATATGGTGGCTCGTCTTATGACTGCAATGATTTATGACTGGAATTCCAGTCACAACAGTGGTTGTAAGTCAAGGACCACCTGTGTTGTTAGCTTCAATCACTACTAGAAAGGTATACCACCAACTTTCATACTACCTGATCCTAACAGTTCCAAAAATTAAATATCACCAAATGTAATAGTTTTCTCCAGATTTATTTAGCATTGCAACCCAATAGTAATAAACATATAAAAGATTCAACTTACCAGTTAAGCAGAAATTGCAAAGTATTGTCAAGTTCCAAAGAAAAGATAGGAATGCTTTAATTTGATTCATTTTGTGAAAGCTGAACATTCTGTAATAAAATGTAAGGTTTTCTTGTTAGATTCTTTTGTAGAAAATGTTAGTAGTTCTCTGCCTATTGAATTCTAAAACCCAAGCATTTATAACAATCACATAAAACATAAGATAGTATTCTATATACATACAATACACCACAATTGTTCTAATCCCCCCTTCCAAAAATGTCTTGTTCATAGGTTGGAATAATTCTCCTGTAATATTTACCACATACAGTATTGTATTAAGTACAATTAAATATCAGAATGAAAGTCAAGTAGTTTAAGTAGAATGATCTTAACTGAATTTCCAATTATGGTAAGTGGAAAAGAAAAGTAAATATTGTGCCTCACTTTTCTGCAAGAGAATAATTTGTTACTAATACCATGTATTTCAAGGCCAGGAACTGAAAAAGAACTATGATTATGAATTGATCTTTTTCTTCACAGGAATACAACTTGTGGTAGGTCCTCTGGTCTTTCACCTATTATTCTATAGGTGAGTCATTAGCTAACATTAGATTTAATTATATACATAGCTAAAATCAGGATATTCTCGTGGTTGCTGACTTCTTATCTGAAAGCAGAATTTCTGATTTTATTTCTTGATTGACATGTTTAGATATTTTTTATCCTTTATTTTTTTTATAAATAACTCAAGACAGTGAATATACCTAATTGAATGACTGGCTTACAGTCATCTAACTGACATTCATGCCTAAGACAGGACTAGAACCCACAGTCTTAAGTGGAATTTTTTTAAAAAATTACACAATTAGAAACAAGCAGATCAACTGACTGCAAATTAAAGCGCTGCTCTTTGGCAGGCAGTTCTTCCTATCTATTGATACGCATGTCTATCTTTACAAAGTGCAGAGTGACCAGTTTCTGCCACAAGAGGCACCAGGCCTCTTACAGAAGCCACACCTCATTACATATTACAACATATGTGCATATGATAAATTACATCATGGATAGTAATAACATCACGTCAAAAATATCCTTCCTGGTGGCACAGTGGTTAGAATGTAGTATTACAGGATAACTCTGCCCACAGCCAGGAGTTTGATACCGACTAGTTCAAGGTTGATTCAGCTTTCCATCTTTCTGAGGTTGGTAAAATGAAGATCCAGATTGTTGGGGACAATGTGCTGACTCTGTAAACCATTCAGGGACTGCTGTAAAACACTGTGGAGAAGAATATAAGTCTAAGTCCTATTGCTATTATTGGCATATGGCATACTATTTAATATTCTGCCCAAGGGAAACAGAGGCAGCAAGAATCTAATAATGACAAAGAACAGATATCTTCCCCCAAGACCTTTGATTTAACACAGCTTACATGAATCTTTCTGTATCGAAAGTAGCTTTTTTCCACATTCAGTCCTCATCTACAATGAGTCCTCATTTAGTCTTCATGTACTCCCCTGTGGGGCTGACCTAATAGTTACACTTGTCCTTTGAAATGGAAGAAAATTGACTCTGGCATTCCTCAATATAACTTGTCTATATGATAAGTGTCAAAAGACATCATAAAGAACCTTGTATCCTACAAGAGAGCTATTTCTTCCAGATTTTTTAAACTTTGAAGGCCCCATGCAAATTGTTCTGGAGCTGCAAAAGTGGATAGGGTGTTTCAGTTTGTGACTGTTTTTAATGCCTTTCACAAGCTGCTTTGGAGATCATTCAAAGTTTATACTTTCAAAATCAATAAATAGATTTTTGATATTGTGGGAAGTTAGCCCCCCAGAGAAGGAAATATTAAAAGGGTAGAAAAATATATTTCCTCAAAAGGATTTTAAAAGCAGAAACCAACCCTGTCCCCAAGTCTCTGTCCCAAGCAGAAGACAGCTCTATACAAATGCAAATGTAAACCATCAGGAAAGTTGTAGCTAGAAGCTAGGAGAAGACAAAGACACCTAAAATCTGCATACCCCACCCAAACTCTAGGAGTCATTAGCCCTAGCACCAGGGAAGCAGGATATATAATAAATAGGATTAACCCACCAATGACAAGAATACCAGAAAGGCACACCCAGACTCAGATAAGAATACATGACACAGGAAATACAAAGCCTGAAACAGGAACAGGAAACTACTTTAAACAAAAGACTCGAGAGGGGTATAAAAATCTACTATCCACATGTACTCAGCCCTTTTTTCCCCTCCTCTTTCCTGCCAGAACCATCTTGCTGTCTGGCTCTTCAATAAACTGCTACCTTCTTTCTAAAGCAGTCGCCATGTTGCTTATTTATCCACGGCTTGGATGAACCAGGATGAAGACTTTTCTTTCCACAATATGTTATTAGAACATACTTAATTAATGCAATTAATGCAACTAGCAGAAATTCTGTCCAACAATTAGCACATTTTATGTGGCTTCAATTGCTAACAATAATCTTTCCTTGTTTTCGATATCCTTCAGTTTTTGGAGTAATACTGATGTTTATAGTCACAAGTAAAAAAATAAATACTCTGATAGAGACTGATTTTTCCCAGAAACTACATGCAGGAAACACTATTTATTTTCTCTTAAGAAGCCTTGGTCCCTTTGTTCTTTTTCAGGCAGTTTTCTCCATATCTTTCAGAAGCTCTATTGTCTCCAAATTAATTGATATTAATACAGTGTAAGACTTCTGAATTACTTAATTATGCAGTTTCTTCCAGAAATGGTACAATGGCTATAATTATTACATTAAACCATCATTTCAAATCAGAATTATTACAGATTTTACTTTGTAATATCTGAACCATAAATTATAATATTAATTTGCCACATAAAAACAAATCATGGTTTGCCAATTGTAAGATTGTGCCACATTATTTCAACTTATTTGCATTGTACTTTGGTAACACTGCAGAAGTTACCTAAGTGGTTTATCTCAAATAATAATATGTTTTATTATGCATATATTTTTATGTTAGAAAATTGTAATATAAAATATTTCTCCATTAGAGCAGCAGATGAAGAATCTAGGAAATGGAAACTTTTCAAATAACTCTAAGAGGAGAATTGTGTCCCCACAGTTTCACGGTCGGACGTCCGGGCTACGTAGTACCACTTTGACGTGGGTGGGGTAACGGTCGTTACCTTTTTTTCAGTGCTATGTAACGCTGTGTAGTGCACTACAACACTCGAACTGTGGGGACAGAATT